CATAACAAGACAGTGCCAGGATTGCAGTTGCTAAGTGATGTGGCCATGTGATGTCTCACTGTATGGCCACATCACTTAGTGATGGAAATTCCAGTCCCAGTTATGGTCATTAAGTGAGGACTACCTGTTATCCCCTCAAAATATACTGAATTACTTTTATATATGATAACTGCGTCCAGGATACTGTATGGTTCTTCTGGAAAGATCGTCTGATCCCCAATAGAAGAATGGGTAACCAAGTAGTGGGAGTATGTTTTCATGTTGAAAATGATGTTGTACCTTAAAAATTAATCTAGCACAGATTTCAACTCAAACCATTATATGTTTTCTCTTGTACTTGTTTATATATTTTCTTTAAAGTGTCCAATTAAAAAAAAAGGGGGAAAGAAAGAAAATGCAGACCTATTAATTTTTATTGATTCAGTTTTTTTCTGAAAAGACGATGGACATTCTACTGGCTAATTGTGATGAACTGGTTGAAGGAAGAGGATTTCAGGTTGAGCTTCTGGAAGAAGAAAATATTGAATGAGTTCAGATTTCCATGGCTAAATTGAATTCTAAACTGCATTCTACAGTACTGAAGGAATTTGCTGATGGCCTGACCAAATCTTTTAAGAAATCCCAGAGAACTGGTGAAGTGCCAGATTACTAGAAGAGCCTTCCTCATCTATGAAAAGGATGGAAAGATGGATCTAGGAAGTTATAAAACTGATACCTGACAAGATTCTAGAATTCTTCCTAAGTGGTCAACATGTAAGCTCCTTATAAACAGTACAGTGATTACAAGAAGTCAGCATGGATTGTGAAGAACAAGTTTTGTCAGAGTATTTCATTTTTTCATTGGACATCTACCAATATTAGAATTTGGGAGTGCTATGGACCTAATAGCATTTGATGAATATGTCATGATATCCTGATTAGCAAGACAGATATTTATGGGCCAATGGCAAGTCTGCTATCTGGATCCACAACTGTCTTGGTACCCATACCCAAATAGCACTCATCAACAATTGATTTCTCATCCCAACACAGTTATCGAGTAGGGTGCCACAGATTTTGGTCTTGGGCTGATATTCTTCAACATTTTGTTTAATGATTTGGTTGATGATATTGTAATGGTCTGTGGGAATGACCTTGGGAGATGGGAGGAAGAGCGGCAGACTAGACAACAATCAGACAAGCAGCGGCTAACCCCGCCGAAGCAATAGGGATGTGGCAAATATCTCAAAAAGGACCCTTCCTAGTTTCTTGGGTTGTAAAGGTGAGAGGGGAGAGATGTACTTTCAGACTCTGTTAATGTAACCTTACAGTAAAATTAGAATTTGTACTTCTGGGTGTGCTTCCCGTCTGGAATACCTCCCAAAGTTGACAGATTTGGAAATGTTTAATAAATTTGCAGATGGCAAAAAGTGACCTTGATAGGTTAGAGGAGCAGGTTGAAAGTAATCAAAAGTGTGGAAGGAGATTACCTGCCTCGGTGATGGTGACACATGAACAGAACTTTGGACTTGTAGTTAATCACAGATTGAACAAAGGTCAGCAATGTGACTTTGTTGCCAAAAAAACAAAAAAACAATTGTAGGCTGCATCTAGAGAAGTGTAATTTCAAAATCTCGGGATTTGTGAAGTTCCACTAATTAAAATTGGAACTAGACAACACAGTTTGTCTGATTCAGATAAAGGCAAGGAAGATGATTACAGGACTGTTAAGAGGGAATAAGGAAATGGTTTAACCTTGACAAAAGATGACTCAGAACATGATGACATTCTTCAAGTACCTGAAAAGCTTCCATAAAGAAGGAGACTAAACCTATTTCCTACCATCCTAGGAAACAGGGCAAAAGTAACTATGTTAAGTTATAGCAAAACAGATTCTGACTGAATGTAACTTACTGTTGCCCATTCACTAGTAGACCTGATTATGAGAGGATGAACTCCTCTTTGCAGGATGTGTTCAGGCGAAAGATGCATTCGTTCTGTTTGCAAGTACTGTATTAAATTGGATTCATGCCCTGATCTGAAAGTTGGACTCAGTGCCTAAACGTCCTCTTCTGGTTTCACAAGAAATAAAGCTTGGAAAATAACCTTACAAAATGATAAAGGAAAGAAATGTTGATGCTCAGTGTTATGCTATAATATAATATTACAAAACAACTATAATTTTAGGAAGAAAAAAAATCTAGGAGCTGTTTTTTCTTAGGATATAGAAAACAGTTTTCTTGCCACTTTATTAATATGTTATTTGCAGAAACAGCATTTTAATCTAGTTTTTAGTTAGAATTGATATTTTAGATCAATGCCGTCTAACTTTGAGTTTCATAAAGTTTATGACATTGGAATTTTTTTTATAATATTTTTTTCCTATACTTTTAAAGAATCAAGCCTTAACTGCATATATGTGTATCCTTAAATAGTCAGCAATTCATTTCATTAGATATAGAAGATAAGGGAGTTTGAAGTAAATGAGAAGCCTGGCAAACAGGGCTGTAAAGGTGTAAGAACTGTATGCTTGGCAGAGTCCCAATTTACACCATGTAATGGAAGATGAATGAAAGGGGTTTTTTCCCCACCTTAACCAAAGAGAAAAAGCAGATGGCTGCATAATAGATACGGTGTCCAGCATGGAAGGTTTCTTCAGGACTTGCTGGGAATCTTAAGTGTTCTGCAACTGACCTCTCTCCTCTTCTTGGAGGTCACAAATGTTCTCTCTTACCATTCTCATTTATTCTTCCAGGCTTTCACGTCTGTAATTGTAGATGATAAGTTTCTAGTCTAGTGGTAGAAATAAAATGGTGCTTGGCATGCTGTATAATCAGGTTTTCTTGTTTGTTTTTAAAGGTTCTTTGGTAATCAATTGTATTTCTTTACACCAGATCTTTTTGGGGCTAAGGAGGTGGGTTTTTTTTTTTTTTTTTGGCTAACTGTGTACCTGCTGAAACATGCTTATTCTTGGTTTTTGTTCAGTTTGATAAATTCTCCAGCATACGAATTCCAGGCAGCAAAAAGGATAGACCAGCTCTCCTGCATCTGAAACAATCACATTGCTCATCTAGTGAATGTACTACCCCTGTGGAGGTAGATGACTCCATGCCTACCCATTTGTCAGATCAAGAGATCCTTGTACTCTTTGAAAAAATGATGGTAAGAATCACAGATCTGTTTCCTAATGTAATGCCTGACTGCCCTGTGAAAATTCTTTTCCTGAAAAACAACTGCATTGATAAAAATTGTCTGCTCATCAGCTCATTAAAGCAGCAGACACAAGAGAGGATCAATTGAAAAAGTCATTTTATTGTTTAATGTATTTTTTTTTCCAAGATAAGAAGTCAAAGGGACCCCTATGGAATATTTCTGAAATACGCTGGTGCTAAATGACTTCTGCTTTTTTTCCATAAGAAGAGTCAATTAATTGCAGTTGGTTGAGATTGAAAATGAACAGTGATGATTAGTATTGATCCACAGAATAAATATCTGTCTTACCAAACAGGGCTACCGATATAATTTTGCCCACTTCCAATACCAATTTAATGTAGATATTATTGTTTGGGGCTGATAAATTTAAATTAGCTGGTTAAGACTTGTGCAACTTCTGAAGATGCTTCAACATATTCTTCCATACAAAATTCATGCAACAACTATGCATTGCTCCAAGAGTATTTTTAAGGATGCATATATGAACTGAAACCATGCATTTCAGCTGTAGTGTATTCCCCTTCCCTGTCTTTGGTCACATATGTATTTTTTAAGGGACAGTAATGAAGCTGCTGTGTGACACAAGAGGCATGGAATGGTAGAGAAGAAGTCTCTATCAGATGCCATTAGGTAAAAGATAAAGTGGGAAGAGAGACACACTTGTAGAGAATGAGGTTGAAAGGTACATTGTTAACACTGGTAATTTTTCAGTTAATGGCAAAGCAAACACCTCCCTCCCTGCACTTACTTGAATATGGAGAATAGAATTGGTACATTTGAATTAATAGAACCTTAACAGGTATAAATGTGAAGCCATAATGTACATCTGCATTCCTTGGTGGAGAAGCAAACTATTGTTCCTAAACATTAGTAGGCATTTATAATTTCCTCCTATGGTAGCAAGAATAGATTAGAGATAGAGATCTTCCTTGGCAGCAGTTTACTGTATTCTTAATATGTGAAGTTACTTTTTATATTAAAAACGATGTTGCTCACTACAAATAATAAAATAATGTTATATTATAGCATTATACTCCTTATGTAAATCTTTTAATCAGTAACAGTATCCCTTTTACAGTACTGCATATATGGAGTAATGAAGCTGAGTGAGAATAGCACGTCCTAGATTTTCCAATGTATCTATGACAGAGACTTAATAATTTAAATCAGATTAATGTAGATCTTGAAAAATGTTTTATATACATTTTAAAAACAACCCAGGATTAATTCGGGCAACTTATTTACAGTAAGGTGGTCTTTATATGGACTTATGGAAGATTTTTGATAGTCCCATTCTAAAGACTAGTGAGCAAAGTTAGTTGTGGGAAAGATGAGACACTCTTATCAACTGGTAAGGGAAAAGAGGACAGGAATAAACTGACACTTAATCTCTATGTTGGGATCTGAGCTTCTTCATCTGTTAGTGCAAGACCAAGCTTGCTGAATACACCAAATTATTTAAGCTGATTAAAGCAAAAAGGAAGAACCACAATATCCAAACATTATTTCTGAATTGAAGAAAAGAACATTAAAAGGCCAAATATGGTTCACTTACACATACTGAGGGAGTTGGTAATGACTGACTGTAGCACTGGACCTTTGCATTCCAACCTGTCATGAGCAATAATGGCAAGAAGTCTTGACTTGGATCTGTAGGAATTCCAGCGTTCTGACTTATCTTTATGGAGAAGATGAAGCTTCTCCAGAGCTCTTTTCTTTCCTGAAAACTGTTAATACAGAGGTTCAGAGGTCTGTCATGTGACTTAGACCACTCTCATGCTAGGCAAAAGGACTAAAATCAATCTTAGTTTTCAACTGAATATGGAAAGACTTAGTTTGTGTAAACATGGTTAATGGAATAAATGATTGGATCCATATAGCTAACCAGACAATTTGTCAACCATGTTAGCTGAGTACATACAACATGTTAAGTCAAAAATCAAACTATATTATGCAACGTATGAACCTAGCAATATTTATTAAGCAATCAAGCAAAGATTAGTTGCTTTTAAAATAAAGAAAATGGAGCCTATATTTCTTGAAGAATTAAACATTGAAAAATTCAGAAACTGAGGGTTAAGCACCTGAATATTTAAGAATACACTACTAAACTAGTTGGAAGAGAGGCTCTTGAATCTTCATAGTTGATAATGTTGACACCTCAGCCAATTGGGGAAAAAAGGCCAATGTTACCAAATAAAGGAATTTCTAAGGGGCTTGGATCACTTCCTGTGAGTTTCCTGCACACGAGAGTAGCTGTTCAACAGGCAACTAAATCACAGGAAGAGCTGGCTTTGCAGTGTAGATTTCAATCCATCAATAAGAGAGGAGGGAGGCTGAGTTTGGTGGTTGTGATGGAAAGCTTGATGAAAATATTGATTTTTTTTTTTTTTTTAAGGAGATGGAAAATGTCAAGGTTTTTGTTGAAATGTTGGTTTCTGTCATTATTTGCTGGCTGTAAAAAACAGGGAGTCTGTTTTTCTACAGTCAAAATGGAAATGCAGGATACTGCCTATTTAGCAGGCTAGTTAAAAAGTTGCCTTTCACCCAATGGACTGAGAAAAAGAGGAGAAAATGGAAGGCGAGTGGTTTTTATTTCAACAGGAGGAATGGAAAGGTGTGTCCCTCCCTGTCCTCACTTCCTGCATGGAATATCTATTTATTGGTGGCTACCAGGCAAGGTGGCCCAAGAACTAAATGAAAGCCAAGGTTTTTATTGATCCCAGATCACTACCTCATGCTAACAAATGGCACTTCGTCCCTCTGGAAAAGCTTCCTTTTTGGTTTGTTTGTTTGCTCTTGCCTTGCTGTTGCCTTTTGTTTCCTTTCTGTGCCTTGCTGTTTGTTGAAACTCAATTGACCTTTGAGCGATCATTAATATTATTGTTATGGCCTCTGATTTTTTAAAGCAGACCTCATCCTATTTCTCACTGCTTTGAAATATTTTGGAATAAGTTTGAGATATAACGCCTGTGTTACCTTTTCTTCTTAGGAAGATATGAATTTAAATGAGGACCGAAAAGCTCCACTAAGAGAAAAAGACTTCAGTATCAAAAAAGAAATGGTTTTGCAGTATACTAGTACTGCTTCAAAGCCGGTAAGCTCCTGGGATTGAGGAGACCACAGCATATGCTCTTGAAAGAGACTGATACAAATCAGCAGAAAAAAACAAACAGATTTAGTTCTGCTTATAATTTTTGCTGGGTTTAATTAGGAGCTCCAGTTCTGTAAATGAGTTCTGACATGGCATATATGGTCCCTTTAAATCTGCATGTATTAATCACCCAATGGTACCATTTTAAAATGTGCGTACATCTTAAGCCCACTTTCAAGATGATGATACAGTTTTCATATTCAGCATAGACCTATGCATTTAGTTTGGTTATTTTGGAACAGGTGAACTGAAGAAGGTTCCAGATTGGCTGGTGTGTGTGTGTTTTAAAATGCACGTGAACATTGTTTTTATTTATTTATTTATGTCTGTGTGTATATGTCACATTTATATAGCCGCCCATCTTACTGGGCAACATACAACAATTAAATAAAATAACAAATAGATAAAAGCAGTCATTATAAAAGATAAAAAAGTGATTCTTTCATTTCATAATATGTGTGATCATTTTCTTTCAGGGAAGCCTCAAGAGTAGAAGGCAGATTCTGCCACAGGAATTCATATATGAACTGAAAACTGGAACAGTGGATGAAAAACTTGTCAGTTGCTTAGAATCCCTTCGTGTGTCGTTGACTAGTAACCCTGTCAGGTAATGCAAGCCGTTCAACAAAGTTTTTTTTTAGAAAAAGCTGAATCCAACAAAGCCGGGTTTGTATATTGCAGCTGTCTTTCATTAAGGCACTGCATTCATTTTAAGTTAAGTTTTATAAGTTGTTATTATTTGTGAAAATTCTTTACTGACAATCATCACTTGCTTTCATATATCTGTCACAGGTATTTTTGATTTCATTTCTGACTGTTTGAATTTACAAATGGCACAAACCAATATTGAAAGTGAGGTCACATGTATAGAATATAACTTTATTAAAATATACAGTCGTAGGTCAAATGCACACACAGTGGTACCTCGGTTCACGAATGCTTCTGTTCACGAACAATTCGGTTTGCGACCAGCACCGTTCGCAAAATTTTGCTTCTGTTCGCGAATTCCGCATCGGGTGACGAACATGACCCGCGGCCTTTTTCCCTGCTGTGACACGTGGTCGTGGCTTCCTGTACGGAGGGGGACTCTCCCTCCAAACAATAACTGCCTCCCCACCCGCCTTCCTGTCCTCCACGCCAGAAGTCGCCTCAAGCAAGGGTAGCGTTCTCTCTCTTCATACTGCACTGTAATGTATTTTATTTCATATTTTTGTGGTTTTAAAAAAAATAGATATGGTTCAGAATGGATTAACCGTATTTACACTGAACCTTATGGGAAAATTTGATTCGGTTCGCGACCAATTCGGTTCGCGACCAGAGTTGCGGAATGAATTAAGTTCGTGAACCGAGGTACCACTGTATACAAAAATATAGACTTGGTAGCTTGATATATATTTCTGTGCATTCCGGAAACTAAATTTCTATAACAACCCAGAAAGGTCTCATCTTGTGTGTAGTACTGTGCTATTGATGTATTTCATCTGGCTGCACTTTCACTTGTTCTTGAATTGATCTCCATATCATGATATCGCCGGACGTCTCTGGCACTCAAATTAGAACTTGATTAAATCAGTGGCTATCAGATTTTTTAATGGCAATATCTAGATAATTTGCTTGTACATGTTTATGAACACAAACTTCATTTCTTTCTAACCAGTAGTATCTAAATCACAACATAAGGGTGTTTTTCAGAAATGTTTCCATTATTAAGTATTTCTACTTGCATACAACATGGTGCTCGAGAGGCATCTTTTTGCAAGCGAAGTTATAGTGTGGAGACCAGAATCCTTTTTTAATCAAATACACAAACAGGGAATTTACGATGCTAAACAACTTGTAGTGCTAATCTATGCAAATTATTTTACTAATTTGCAAATAGTAAAGGTATGCAAAGGGATTCCAAATTACTAGATACTGAATGCTAGTATAGACAACATGTTCAACCTTTTATTTAGGATTGTTGTTGTTTAGTCGTTAAGTCGTGTCTGACTCTTCGTGACCCCATGAACCATATTG